AGTTATTTTTTTAATTTTGTGGATTTCCTTTAAAATGTAATTCTAATTTAACTGAAGAGGATTTAGAGAATTATTGCAAAACAAAACATGGCACAATGCTAAATGGGTGGATGAAAAAAAATGTAAATTAAATGAATTACACAGAGCTAGTTTTACAGCAATGTGAAATAGCCAGGAGAGACCCACAACTATCTGACACACACAAGGGCACATTTAAACACGCTGTATGAGCCGCTGCTAATTGTTGACTTCCATCAGATGTCACAAGAGGTAATAGTAGGGGTGGGGGTACTGCAACCCCCCCTCCTCCCAAATTCTCCCCCTCCTTCACTTACATACCATCAAATAAATGAAAATACAGAAGGCAGCCAAGAATTTCCTCACAACAGCTCAGTCACACTGTGAACAACTATGAAAGACAATCCATGCCGCAGTAGCTGTTTGTGATGGGAATGTGTGTGCCTGTGTCCCGTTAGAGTGAGTGTGTACGCACAACAACAAGACATTACCCACTGCCTTTGCCAAAATCCCAACAACGGTCATCAGCCAGGAAGACAAGCACAGTTAGACACAAAGACACAACACAGAAACTTCAATTGTGTGACCTACCAGGTATGATCTTCATCTAAAAGAAGGTACGTGGAAAGAAGAGGAGGACAAGGGTGAAGAAAAAAAAACAACAAGCTGGACAGAGGGAGAATGAGGAGGACAAGAGAGGCGCGTGTTTGTTTGCCCCGACTGCCTTGTTTCTCCCTGGTCTTGAATTTTGACAGGCTGTGCCTGCTGCTTGAATCCGTCAGCCTGCTCTCCTTTGGCCAGGGGAGGAGGGATGACACACCAAGCCTGGGGAAGGGGGCAGGGGTGAGGGGTTCTCTGAGGGCTGCCAGGGGGGAGAAAGAGGGCTGGAGCTGACTGGGGGTTATAAATATCCACTAGAGCCAGATGATCACACTGTGCTCACACTTAGAAACTGATGGAAGCGCTCTGGCGGGACACTTGGCTGTTCTCGTCCTTTAGAGACACCCTCCACAAGCAAGCCCTTCCATCGCCCCTCCCTCTCTTTCTCTCTCTCTTCGAGGATGATGGTGGGAACTGTTTAGGTCACACCTCTCACCCAGAAAACACATCACATGTAAGAGCTCTCTCAGGCTCAACATAACCAAATCATTTGAGTAGTAAGTAAAGTACTCATCCCAATTAAACCACAGGAAAGTGTGACACACTGATACAACCGAATACAAGCTGAATTTAAACACACAGATATACTGCGGCTGGAAAGTCTGGCAGTAGATGAGATGGATTAAACTGGATCTTGTTCAGTAAAACACAGTTTAGTGATGGATGCTCTAGAGAGCAAGGCTGGTGACCTCAGTGTTCATCCCCTTATTGCTGCGGGATCATATCAATGCATGATATTCTCTAAATATAGTAAGTTCTAATATATGCATTTGGCTCGGGCAATTGTAGTGCTGACAACTGGCTCCACTTCTCTACACTGCCAAAAGCAAACCTGTCTGGAGAGCAGAGTGAGGACTGCATTCTGTTGTGAAATGCTAAAATTATGTATGAATCTTCTGTAGTGAAATGAAAGCAGCTGTACTGAGAAACCATTGAGCAGAATTAGACAGGATTGCAGGGAATTCCTTCATCAACAACTTTATGCGCAGCAATCCCAAACTCCTGAACTCAACAGGCTTTCTACACACACATGAATCATGTCAGGACACATGGCTGAAAGGTATTCTAAGCTTATGTCCCTGGGGAAAATACCAGTAGTCTCTTCAACCACACTGTGTAGTGGAGATATTCATTCTTGTAAACAAGAATGCTCCTCCTCTACTCACTAAGCTGGTGAGAAAATACTGGATAAAATTAGGGTTTTATGAACTTTAAAATGAAGGCCAAACTCGCATCCCTCTCACTCAACTGTAGTCACATTAGTTTGGTCTTCTAATAAGGTCTAACATGCACCCTGGGAAATGACTAACGTCATAACCATGTTGGCCAAACCCTCAATATATTCCACATGTTATCAATCCTGTTTCCAAAGTTTAGCCTGTTGTGAGTTAACCATTACACTGCCACAAGAGATCCTGGATCCTGCATCACTCTCCAGCTCCTGCTACCATTAAATGTGATATCAAGCACTCTGCGCACGTAAATACGGCAATTCAAAGTAGCAATTTGAACGCACAAACAGCTGCTGGAATGGGATTCTGTTTCACTTTTCAAATAGGCCTCATAAATATTCACCTTTTGTGACTCCTGTTCTATATTTGTGCCATCATTTTTCAAAAATTTGCACTTAAGCCAAGAAGAAATCATCTCAGGTTTCATTTCAACATCCCTTAATTATCAAAATGTCTGTTTGGTCTGCAAGTGTCATAATTTATGAAGTGTACTCCAATATCTTCTGAGACTCCGAACTAAATATCAGAAGGGGTTTCACAGGCGGAGTCAGCAGTTAAAGACATGCAACAGCTAAGGTCATTTACTTTGTTTTGAGCAAAACAGCACTGTGGGCCAATCGGCACAAGCGGCAGCAGGAGATTAAGTTGCCAGTTTGCAGCACAGTCTGCTGACAGACGCCAAGAGTTTGTCTCTCACTTTTTCCCTACTTTTTTTTTTTTTTCTTTCAACAGAGAGGTCACGCACATGAATCAACTCCAAAATTTGCAAATCGCCCGGGGTGAGTCACGACATTAAAATGAAGTGGCACCATAATGAGAGGCACAGAGCTGAAGTTCACTGTAGCTGTTCATTTATCCAATCACACAAGTATGCACAGGGCACCATTTCAAAGATGAAAACATGGAAGACCCTCAGTGGCACGTCTGTGATGTGATTTACTCAAATTGTGCCTGGTGCCATGTCCGCGCCGAGTTTAAACAGTGTGTACAGTCCACACAAAAGTGCTTACCACACAGATTTAGTTTAAGTGCATCCGGAAGGCCACGTTTGATGAAAACTGTTACTCTGAAATTCAAACCAGCTTATAGTCGCTGCTTTGAAAGCAACATTTTTGTGGCATAAGTCACATTTCATTCAGTACGTTCCTCCTTCCTAGTTTCCGCATCACTGATGCAAAGTAAGCTTGTAACAGAAACTGGAGGAGGACAAAAGTATGCATAGTTAACTGCAAAAATATCCAGCGATGAGCTTTGTCTACCGACTGCCACTTAATAAAGCAACATACCAAGAATACTACACTCTAGGAATAAAGGTAGTAAAATCAGTATTTCTGGAAACCACTGCTCTAACAATCTATATGAGGTAAAATTAAAAGCAACAAAGAAATAAAAGTGGCTTTTTTATTAGATGATAGCAAATCTGAGCTCCTTTCAAAGACTTCTGCAGTGGAGTTGCAGCATTAGGTCTATGTGACAGATGAATATGGTTGTTCATGGACAGCAGATGTCAGCAGTGTGCTGCTGTGTCTGATGTGTGAAAACGTCACAGATCAGAAAGACCTCCGGAGTAAAAGTCAAATTAAAATCTTTGCGATAGTTCACCATGGCAATGATCAGCGCTTCCTCTACAATTCAGGTTTCTTCTAGATACCAAAATGCACTGCAGAGAAGCAGAGTTCTGCTTATAATGAGCTCTATAAGTGACTGTGTTTGTGTACAGCTGTCATGAAGTTTTTAATCTAACTTATTTTCCTGATGAGTAACACAGACTGGCTCAAGGAGCCAGGCTTCTAATTGAATCCAGAACGCCCGTCACGTGTGGATCCAAACAAACACACCCATGGATCTGTGAGCAACTTATTCCAACTTTCTGACTATCTGCATGCTGCTCACACCCTCAACAGACAACGCCCGAAAAAAGTCTGTTTTGCACACAGTTCCGGAGATATAACATTTTACATGGTGGTTTCAGCAACAACTTGCTTCGCTCGTGGAAGTTATGAGACGTTACATATCATATCAAAAAACTCTGGAGTCACATGAATGTGCCTCAGCATCATCATGATTTAACATGAGCCATATGAGTTTCACTTCAACAAAAGCTAACCGCAGCATCATGTGCCACTTTTATTTCTCTAAACCAGCAAAGGAGGATGGCGCACAGTACGGTGTTGACATTACCCACATAACTCCCGTGTTAATGCCCTTTGCATAATGGAATGCAAAGGGCATGCATATCTCTCCAAAGAAAAAACAACCCTAGAACACAAACCAGAGCCAAGAACACAGCCTGACTAGAGCAAAGAGACTACTAAAGACTAATTCTCCCAAAAGGACCACACCTCTCTTTTTCTGGCTTTAACTCACGGTTAGCCGTCTCTGCAGGGAACAGGCGAGGCTGGATCTCACCAAAACAGCCCCACCTAGTTGGAATGGCTGCAGATCTCACTAATCCTGCTGGCAAACACCCAGATAGCTCCAGAGATAACTGTTACCACTCACAGCAGTGAGTATAATTGATTACACAATTCAATCAGAATTCCCCACCCTGGAAATGTGGGAATTTTTCTTGTCATTTGAATTGTTTGTTAAAAATAAAAACTGCTGCTGATGCATGTGAAAACTTGAAACAATAGCAGTAGATTATTTTTTGAGTGTTTACCACAGCAAAAAACACAGGAACCTGTGATATCTGACAGCAGGAGGACAACAAGGGGCAAGCACTGTGTCAGACACTTTATCTCTTCTAACACAAAGCTAATTCAATCACAGCCACATCTCAAAGGTCTCTCACTGAAACTGTTCCTAAAAAAGAGGCTCCCTCTGCACCACATCACAAAATAGACTCTGGGCTTGGTAACATGTAACTTTAAGCCACAAACTGTAATCACAACACCCCAAATAATACTTTGAATGGGAAGTCAAAGACAATTACAGAATGGTAATGCTATTCAAGGTACATAAGTGCAGAGCACCAACAGTGCACCCTAAAACCTCAAATGCTTTGAAGAAAGGTGGGAATCTAGACTCAAGAGTGATTGCATCACAGAGACATTAGAAGTAGGTAAGCTGGCATGCATTCAAACAAACCTTCCATGAAGTTAGGCCATGTCTTCTCCTCTGGCTCCCCCAGTGAGTGGTCCCAGTCTACCTCTGGTGAGGCTCCTCGTCCCTTGCCCCTTGCCACCTGTGCCAACACTGCCCGCTCTATAGCAATTTCTTGCAGAACATCCAGGTCCAGCTCCTCGCCTTGCTCCTCAGACTCCACAGGTGGAGGTGGTGACTGCTGTCCAGCTGCCTCCGGACTAATGAGCTGCTTTACTTCAACAATCTCCTCCACTACTACTATTTTCCTCTTCATGGTGGCCTCGTCTATGTCAGATGTTTCAAACTTGCAGGTGTCCCGCTGGTGAGGCTGGTCAGGACGGGTCACGGGCGTGGCGGTGGCAGAGGGTGTGTCCTCTATCAAGTCCCTCTTCTTCTCTCCCTCCTGCGTTAGTGCCTCAGAAACAGGGAGCTTTTCCTCTGTGCTGCACTCTGCTGCCCGAGCGGCCGAATGTTGTGCAACTTTGGGAGGCTCCTCTTGCTCAAAGAGTGGGCTGGCCTGTGCCTGAGCTGCAGCTGGCTCTGCTGTTAGCGCTCTTGCTGCTGACGCTAATTCTCCGGCTGTGGGTGCTTCCTTCACACTGGAGGATGTTTCTGGTTTTGGAGCCTCCCGCTTGATTTTTTCTGCAAAGAGCAGGGCTGGCTCCACCTCCCTTTTGTCTGCTGGGGCCTCAGAGAGCACAGCTGCTGCCTGCCTGACTTCCTCACTGCACATTCTTTCAAGAGTCATCTTTAAAGAAACATTAGTTTCTGTCAGTCCGGAGGCCATGTCAGGGCTGTCTTTAACTGCAGCTTCATGCAGGGGTGTAGTGTCAGTTGATGGCAATGTTTCTGCTTCAGGCAAAGGGACAGGATTTGTGTTTATAACCTCTAACTCTGGTTCTTTAGGCTGCTTTCCACCCTTTCCCTTCTTCTTTCCCTTTACAGGTTCCTGTGTAGCTTTCTCTGTATTTATGGCGGATTTAGCCTCAATTGTGGGTTTCTGAGATTCTGACAGTGGGGCAGGGTTTTCCTGCTCAGATTTAGGGCTTGCTTGCACGAGCTCCACTCCACTTATTTTCTGCACTGTCACTGTTTCCACTTTGGTCACAGTTATTTTCTCAGATTTCACTGGCTCCATATGGGGCGACGTAACATTTGACTCGCCCTTAGGGGATAATGGTCCCTGTGCAATCTTTCCGGCATTGCTTTCCTCAGACTTCTCTTTTATTTGTCCCTCCACTAGGGGCGCTGCAGGAATCTGTCCTAGTGGCAGTGAGGCTTCTTCTGAATAAGCTGTTATTTGTTTAGGGACATCTTGTGTTTTCTCTCTGTCAGTATGTATTTTAACCTCGTTTGTCTTTGTTCCCTTTGAGCAGGTAGACACAATTAAAGGCTCGGATGAAGCCACTGGTTCAGTCTTATTTGCAGGTGATCCCTCAGCACTCTCGACACTCTTCAAGGCCTCAGCTTGAGATTTCTTTTTCTTTCTCTTTGATTTTGAGCCTCCCTCGACCGCTTGTTTGGTTTCTTTAAGCACCTCTGTGGTGACAGCATTTTGAGGAGGCTGAGATGTATCTGATTCATCTTGCACTTTTACTGTGGGCTCCTGCACGGAACCTTTAGGGGCTTCTTTTCTGACTGGGGGAATCGCTTTTGAATTAGTTTTCTTCTCTTCTGCAGTCATCTCTGCAGCTTTTGCTGTGACAGGCTGTGCATCTTCAGCATTGGTCAAAGGTGCTGCGAGAGTTGCTGTAGTAATGGTGGATTTGACTTCAAGTGTTGAGGATTTCTGTACTGTAGTAACTTCTAGGGACACTTCATCAGTTTTAGAATCTTTAACCTCATTAGTGGAGCCCTTTGGTTTGCTTGTGGCGCTGTGAGGTTTGGCTTTGGCAGTGTCCTGAGTGGCAGCTGCATCTGTAACTTTTTCTGCCTTATCATTTATAATTTTAGACTCAGCTGAAACTGGAAGGGCCTTCACCTCTGTGGGTTTAATCAATTCCTTATTTACTTTAAGCCTCGTTTCTTTGACAGAGCCTGTTGAAGTGACAGGCTTTACTTGTTGGGGCTTTACTTGATCATTGGCTGCTGTAGCACTCACATTTGCAACTTTAACTGGATCCACAACAACCATTTTCATTTTGTCTTCTTTGGTATCAAAATCAGGAAGCATTGTGAGAACTGGTTTGCTTGTAATCATTTGAGTAGGCTTGATAGAAGTTTGTTCCTCAGCGATATTAGGCCAGTCCTTGGTCTTCATTTCCTCGTTTGTTTTGGGAGCAGAGGGCTTAGCTGGAATCTTTGATGCTGCAGCACCTGTGGCCTGAGCAACAGCAGCCACAGCTAATGGTAGGGCTGGTAGGGCTGTTTTGGAGGATGTCAGACCGGTCTGTGACACATCCTGCTTCAAAGCTGCTGTCTGAGCGGGAGCAGAACTTGTTGGCTTCTCTTTTTCGACCTCTAGTGCTCTCCTCTTTTGTGGTGATGCTATGGGCTTCTTGCTGTAAACATCAAGCTCCTGGTGAGTGGCTCTTTTCCCCCTGTTATCCTCCATCATTGCTGTTTCGCTTCTGAAGCCGGTGGTCTTCCTAAAAACGTCCTGAGGCTGGCCCTCCACTTCCCATAAGGCCTTTTCTCTGGCCGGTTCTCCAGGCAGTGGGCGACCCCTGAACCTCGGGGTCCTATCGGGGTTATTCTCTCTTTCTCCAGAACCCACCATCTTATGGCGGTAGCCTTGGCGCTCTGCTAGTTCCTCTCTTCTTTCTGCTTCAGCCCTGCGTCCCGGCTTAGGAACATAAGACGTTGGACCTTCTACAGATTGGACCCGTGCAGCTCGGTGAGCAATGGCCAGAGTGGCGGCTGGCTTCCTAATCCTTTGCAGGGTGGCAGGAACAATTTCAGTGGGCAGGTGGAGGTAGTCACGCAGGTAAACAATGCCATCATTGGTCAGGTACCAGTAAAAATGTTTCCAAGCAAATGTTTCCTTTACATAGCCCCTGGACTTAAGAGACCCCATGGCACGAATTACTTGTAGGTTGCTTACACTTTGTACTTCTGGGTGTTTGATCTGCGGCCTCTTATCCTTCTTAGCCACCATGACACCATCTCGAAACAGGATCTCGTAGATGGCCCTCAGGTCATGCAGGGGCATCAGCATTCCAGCAACCATTGTTGTTTGATTCAGTAAACTTTCTCAAAGTGAAACTAAAATGCACAATGGCAAACAAAGAGAAGAGCACCTCACGCTGTGTTGTGAGAAAGAGTCAAGTGCCAAGACCGGCTGGCACGTGTTTCTTAATTCAATAAGGGGGGAAAAAAATGAAAGAAGAAATCCCTGTAATGATTTTTCCTTACTGTCTCTTCTCCTTGCTCTTGTTGATCCTTTCGTTGTAGTGAAGAAAATAAATATTCCTCTGTTAATAAGTTTAATGCCCCCCCTACATTCAGAGTGGCTGAGAATGAGCAGTCTCTGTTCGGGCCGAGATGGCAATGACAGAATGGAAGAGAGGGAGTGTGTGTGTGAGTGTGAGAGAGAGAGAGAAAGAGAGTGAGAGAGCAAGGCACACACTTCTCAGTCTGGCTCCTCCTACCTTCTCTCTCTTTCTCTTAGGAAAAAACTGTCATGGAAAAAAAATCTCACTAGAGTAAATAGTACAGCAGGAAGCTAGAAGTGGGGGGAAAGGTGTCTGCAATAAACTGAAATAAAATTCGAGCAAAGTCAAATGAATGGATCAACACACCTATGGAGGGAGCACGTGATCTACAACTCTATGACATTTACAAAGAGTCCCGCCCACAACCAAAAGCAAATGGCTCCTACTCACATGCAAACACACACCTCTGAACGCACACTAGGACTGAGTGGCACACACCCTTTGGCGTGTGATGCACACTCCAATGAATGGGTTGTTCTTTTCAGCGAGTAGATATCAGAAAGGAAGATGACTAGCTGGCATCCATCCGATCCTGCCCATGCAAGTTATTAAGCACAAGGTGTCTTTAGCTTTACACATTTCACGATCAGGTTTCAGTGAAGAGCTTTTACTACACGTGCAGGGCATGGTGCTCACATCTCATATGACACAGTCTTAGAATATATCATAAAGGCTGGTGACATTTCAAGAGAAACTACATAAATCACAATAATGTACTCCGACTGGACTTTGCAAGGATATGAAAGGAGATGACTAAACTCTTACTAATTATCTAATATGACCCATGCCTATATAATAATAGCAAAACTAACGTTAAGTTTAATTCTATCCTTATCTTATGTATTCTTATCTGTGTTTGTTTTGGGGGTCTCCAAGCCGACAAGAAAAGAAGGCTAGACGGGCCAATCGGTGTTTCCTTTGCAGCTCATTAAAGTGATGCAACAGGCTGTAAAGCAGCCTAAAGTTGTACTGCTACTTCAGACAGTTAATATTAGAGCTGGGAAAGAAGAATCTATCTTGCACAACTATATAAAGAACTATGCATTATAGCTAACCTTTTCACCACTCCCAGAAACATGATATCAGTTTTCTATCCAGAGATCACTTCTCTCCCCTGTACATCTGTCTCCTGTTCGTCTCCTAGTGTCAGAGAGAGTGATCCCTTGCGACCAGCGTTCAGCGAAAGCCGAACTGGAAGGAGACCTTACAATTGTCGCTTACAGCACAGCAGCATGCGTTCGTTTGTCTGCGCTGCACACAGTGATATACTCATGAAATTATAGTGGTGGTGAATGGGCAGAGATGAAATGACGCATTCCCTCCGGTGTTTGAAACCACACACACTATTACACATTCAAACACAGACAGAAAACTGTTTTAATTTTTTTACCATGGCAACAGTCAAATGAAGTAAGCCAGTTCTGAGTAAGCCACATATCCGCTTTCAGAGCTGCAGTGGAGAAGCTGGCCATAAATCTGTTGGCTAGGCAGCTGGGACCACTGTGTCAACTTATTAGACTGCTATTTGCAAGGACATCATTATCTCATCATTATCAAACAAGTTATTATCGGGTTATCAACCTTTCATCAGTAATCATGAAAGCAAAAAACATGTCATGGCAAAATAATAGTTTCTTTTTAAAGACTATATACAAATGTAAAATACTGACATATTAAAATAAGGGAGACATCCCCCTCATAACTATCGCTGGACCTTTACTAATCTACTATCTAATAACAATTCCTTTCACACAGGATTTACGCAGTTGTCTGTTTTGACATCTCTCTCAGACTGGGTGAAGCCTTAAGCCATGTACTCCACCTACAGTATATACCTTGTTATGTTATGGTATTAACTTTAGAGATGTATGTACAGTCAGTGATCCAAAAAGCAGGGAGGCGCATTCATTCGGAGAACATAGAGACTTTTTCGGTTTATGGAACAAAGAAGACATTCCTCTGAGTTGCGAAACAAACGTCTGCCTGACAGGGAAGTGTATGTGTATGAAAGAATCCTAAAATATCAGTGTGAGTGAGCATTTAAACCACATTAGGCTGCAGTCTAAGGCCGTGTTTGCTTCACCAAGGCAATGCCAAACCATTTTGCATGTATTCAAAAGTCTAGCAAAAAAAAAACACAAGCGCTAATATACAATGAAAATAAAGAACACCAAAAAGGACGCAAGTAGTTGAGCAGATGAAATCCTACATCAAGGAAGAATCTGCTTTCTAAACTTACAGCAACTACTTCCTTACATACCTTACTTATTTAAAAAAAGATATCTCAGTTGTCGTTGGGTTGTTTTTAATTAGGGATTAAATGCAAATCACAGTTTTTATATCATTTGTAGTCACTACGATTTAAATTGCAAGCCCTGAAACAATCTCACTGGTGGAAATTGGCATCAGTGTGTAGGGGTGCCTTGCCCTCTGTGTTGCATATCACTGTGATTTCATGCACTGTTTATGCACAAAGTGTTCAGTGAACTTCAAGCCTCTGACAGTGACCCTTATCCTGGCTCAAGGCCCGACCTCTTCGGCCATCCAAATATTAGATTGTCACGCTTCAAAAGAAACACTGTATCACCAGGATGTGCTGCTGCTGCTGCTTTTCAAAGGGAGTTGCTGGTTGCAAAAGCTATTTGCAGGCTTGATGTGGCATTGTCAATTTTTCTAATAAGAAGCAGACTACCAGAAGGGAATGTCATGGCAATACAGAACTAATCTTATTCAGGCTATAAAAAGAACAAGAGCAGACCAACTACAGAATGAATGCCAATGTGATTGACTGAAATGGAGAAATAGGACTTTGGGGAAGAGTTCCCGAAGAGTTTCCTGGTTAGGAGTCTGCTCCTCCTGCTATGTTTCAGGCCTCCACCAGTCCCAAAATAGACTTGTCAGCACCAGCTGATGGTGGCTGGCTCATGGCCCAATGTAAAGGGCTTCACAGGTGCCCTCCACCCTCATATCAGATCCAAGCCACTCAAGGGAAAGCAAAGGTCAGCAAGGCCTTTCTTATCCACCGATGTAAGAACGCTCATTACAATAAGTTAAGAAAACTAAAAACTAAAAAACACTCATTAAATTGACTGATCCTCCAAATAAAAAAAAAACACACATACTGTTTCATATGAACTGTTATATTTGAAATTGAGCAGAGACAACTATCACGTTATTAGGATTCAGGGTAAAGTCCACAACCGGCTGTAAAACAAAAAGTCCAAAATACTGTAAGCTGGTAATGAAAGCACACTGAAGCATTTGAGCTGACTGTGTTGCCAGATGAAAACGTAAAAAGTTACAAAAGCACAAATCAAAGTGTGGCCCTTAGTCTACCCTAAGTTATGACTTGTGTCTCTGTAGTTGTGACAAATTGTTTTGTGATGCACAAGAGCCCATTTTTATCCAGATGATAAGTCCGTTTTTATTTGAGGAGCTTGCCTCTTAGCTGTGTATGGTTAGGCAAGTGACTCCATAGTCTGAGACAGCTGTGGCCCCTGACATAGCTGGTGCATGTTAGAGCCTAAACACCCGACCTAGGAATCTGCTAAAGTTAGAGGTTGTTGTGAACAACTTTATATGGAGGTTTCCGACTGCCGCCAGTGTATTTAGAGGCTTTCTAAGTAATTAGAGTAATCTAATTAATGAACTTGGTCATAGCTGAATTATTTTGCCCTATCTTTTTGAGCCACCTCCACACCTACATAGAAGGATGCTGGCCAAGTGGTTTCCATCACAGTCAATAATGCTCAGAGACATGAAGGGGAAGGCTAGTTTATCACGTTTATCATTTATCAGTTTATTAAATATGAATTTGTCCTAAACAGAATCACCACAATGCTTTTCATGCACTGTCTTTGCCTTAGATCTTGCAGCAAGTTTTGTGTAGGGCTCTGAAGACATTTTCATTTAAAGGCTTCATTGTAACCGTGTTATCTAGACATTTATTAAATGAACTGCCATGCATGAAGTAAAAAAAAAGAAAAAAAAAAAAAGAAATAACATAGCAAAAAGACATCCATTGGATATTTGGTTTGTTATTTTGTTCTAGTGTTCCTATAAGTTTGATTCTTTAGTTTATGACCAACAACATAACTTGCGGGCATAATCTGTATTTAGATCTAACTGTTAAACGTTAGCTTGCTCACATGCTAAAATAAGATGACAAACGTTCAGCACATACCTGCTAAAATTCACTGTGCTAGAATCGTCACTGGGAGAATGTATTCATGCAGAATGCTACATTTGGATATGTATACGTCAGATAGAAACATCCGGAACTGAAAACTGAAGTTAACGTGGACTCGCTGGCTCAAAGAGTGAGTTAATTCCCAATAACACTCCTGTTAAAACTCACATTTTTGTAATACTCCCTTTATAACAATTGTATGATGGTTGATTTAAAAAAACAAAACAAAAACCCCCAATAATAATAGTAAATAAACGTTTTAAACTTATCCCAAAAGGTTGATTCAGTTCATCTGGACGTAGCGTTTTTCAGATAACTGTGCTCCAGTTTGGGGGAAAACTTCTAGGATTTTGTCAAACAACTCAGCAATGAGTGGCCAATTTTTATTTTATTTATTCATATATTCACTCATAATTAGGGATGGGTACCGGTATCCGGTGCCATGATGGCACCGGTTCTGTCATAAACGGTAGTAACCAGACCGAAAAG